TGTGTGTGTGTGTGTGTGTGTGTGTGTGTGCACGCTTCATTTGAGATTTGAGAATATCCTAATTATAATATCTTGCCCTTAATAATTAGTTAATTATAGAATAGCTGGTATAAAATTCTACTAATTCAGTGTTAGAATTATAAACTTAATAATCACTAAAGCTAGGTTATTTTAAAATATGGCCCCAAATTCTTTGACATTCCTCATACCTGTCCTCCACTTGAATCTGGGAAAGTTGTGACTTGTATAGACTTCCCAGCTTAGGTCCAAAAAGGTTATGCCCCTTCCATCTCATTCTCTGGGGATGCTCACTGTGGGGTAAGCCAAAAATCATGTAAAAGTTTGACTATTCTGAGACCTCCATGGAGAAGAGGACATGTGTAGGTGCTCTAATCAGCAGTCCCAGCTAACTTCCTATCTGATGACCAGCATCAACTGCCAGCCATCTTGGATGTCCAGCCCAGTCAAGCCTTCAGATGGCCCGGGCCCTGGCTGACATCTAACTATAACCACATGAGAAACCCCAAGTGAAAACTGTCCTGTCAAGCCCACCTTGAATTTCTAACTTAAAAAACTAAAAGTGAGAGAGAGAACCGAGATGGCGGTATAGGTAAACACCTGTACTTGCTGCCTCCCACAACCACACTAAAATAACACCTATCATCCAGAACCACGGGAAAGCTGGCTGAGTGGAAGTACAACTAGAGAGGTAAAGAAGAAAGCACATTGAGACTGGTAGGAGGTGAGGAGATGCGGAGGTGTGGAGGTGGGGAGGTGCGGAGGTGCGGAATGGGCTGGCACCCGGGTGTGCTGCTTTTTTAATCGGGCGGGAGGGAGATACAAGCTCCCACTTGCTCTGAGCTTCAGTGCTGGGTGGGACTTTGGGGGACCCAGACACATACAGGGAGAAACGTAACATAGGGGCAGCTTTCTTCCAAATGGAGGTGCTCGCAAAGGTCATTATGCCTGAGCTGGGACCTCCTGGTGCAGAATTGACTGGCAGCCATTGCTATTTGCTCCACCCTGGAGATTCCCTGAGACCCCGCCCCACCCAATTTACAACCCCACCCAAGCTGTGCGTGCTGCTTTTGCATATGAATGGCCAGTCCTTTCTAAGCCTAAAACCTGTCAAACTGTAGCTAGGTCAGGGAACCCCAAAGCTATCAAAAGAGGGCAAAGGCCAGCACTGCAGCAACCTGCCTCGCTTCACAGCTGGGCCTCATCTGGGCACTTCCAAACCTGATACAAAGAGGAGAAATCTGCAGATTTCTCTGTGGCTCCTGCTGGGTGGCCCCAGGCAGTGGCTGACTTTGCACTTCCTTGGAGATCCAAGAGCCAGTGTATCCAGCGGTCAGTGTGAGAACATACCAGATTACAACTCTTCACATCCATAAGTGACACACTCAAGGGGCAGGCTCAGTGAGCACCAAAGCCCCACTGAAGCAAGTCCTGCCCCATAAGGGTGTCTCCTGCACAGCAGCTCTTCCATTGTAGACACACCTAGTCCTCACAGCCAACTGTCCTGGAGGTCAATTCTTCCCAGTGATACCAATAGCAATCAAGGCTCAACTACAACAACACTGTGCACACAGCCCACAAAGGGGTGAACCAAGAGTGTCCACCTCAAGTGATTGGGGAGGCTGAGCCACTGTGCCCTATAGGACACCTACTATACAAGGCCACTCTATCAACTCAAGGAGACTGAGCAGCTACCCAATACATAGAAACAAACACAGGGACACAGCCAAAATGTGGAGACAAAGAAGCGTGTCACAAATGAAAGAAATGGAGGAAAGCAAACTACTAGATATAGAGTTAAAAACCACAGTTATAAGGTTACTCAAGAATCTTCTAGAAACCTCCGAGGAACTTAGTGAGACCTTCAAGGATCTTAGTGAGAATGCCAAAAAAATGGAAAGGAACAGTCAGAAATTAAGCATACACTGACTGAAATAAAGAATAATA